CAGAGTGACTTCAAGAGTGTATCAGTCTGTAGTGGAAGGAAGGCGGGGTAGGGATTGGCCTAGGAAAGGTTGGAGGGAGGGGGTAAAGGAGGTTTTGTGTGCGAGGGGCTTGGACTTCCAGCAGGCATGCGTGAGCGTGTTTGATAGGAGTGAATGGAGACAAATGGTTTTTAATACTTGACATGCTGTAGGAGTGTGAGCAAAGTAACATTTATGAATGGGTTCAGGGAAACCGGCAGGCTGGACTTGAGTCCTGGAGATGGGAAGTACAGTGCCTGCACTCTGAATGAGGGGTCTTAATGTTGCAGTTTAAAAACTGTAGTGTAAAGCACCCTTCTGGCAAGACAGTGATGGAGTGAATGATGGTGAAAGTTTTTCTTTTTCGGGCCACCCTGCATTGGTGGGAATCGGCCAGTGTGATAATAAATAAAAAAAAAATAAATCTGTAGTGGAAGGAATGCGGGGTACGGGTCATCCTATGAAGGGTTGGAGGGAAGAATAAATGAGATTTTTAAGTGCGAGGGGCATGGACTTTAAAGCGTGCGTGAGCGTGTTAGATGGGGATAAGTGGAAACAAATGGTTTTTATGACTTGACGTGCTGTTAGAGAGTATGACCAAGGTAACATTTATGAAGGGATTCAGGGAAACCAGTTAGCCAGACTTGAGTCTTGGAGATGGGAAGTAGAGTGCCTGCACTCTAAGAAGGGATGTTATATGTTACTGTTTTTTAATTGTATGTAAGGCATGCTTCTGGCAAGACAGTGATAGAGTGAGTGATGACAGTGTTTCTTCTTTTTTGAGTCACCCTTGGTAGAAAATGGCCTATTTGTTTATAAAAAAAAATTCCCTGTCTCATGAGCATATGCTTTAAATTGATATGCACACAAAGAAATGCTGTCATAAAAGTTTCAGTTAAAAATGCATATCGATGATTGGTACTTTTATGCTATAAAATTATTCAAAATCATTTGTGAAAATTAATGTTTTTATGATGATTAAATAATTTATATAATGTTTTTTATTGAAGTAATCAATTTTTGTTATTAAAGTAATAAATATTTGTTATTAAAGTTTTGTATTTTGTAATGTGCAAAATGTTTCATATTCATTTTTATTGTAGATAATCATACTAAAAATATAAGTGGCAGTTCAGCATGATAAAAGTATTCATACATAAGTTCTACATTTGCCACAGTTTGGATGAAGACATAGATACAGTACAGGTCCTACATCACAAATCCGGCATCATTGGGACCTGTAGTGTGCCGGATTACTGAGTTTGCCGAATTACAGAGTGGTTAGGTTACAATACACTTAATAAAATTAACCAACTTGACTTATACAGTTCATTGAACATCGGCAAAAATCGAACATTTCCGCTACTTTGAGCTCAATTTCATGGTGCTTTTCATCATGAAAGCAATCAAAATCGTGTCTATTTCTGTAATATATCTTCCATTCTATCAAATGAGTCCAAAAAATGAGAATACAACCATAAAAACCATACGAAAATATACTGCAAAGAGGCGCCTAATGGCTGAGAAGTGAACTCCCTTATTTATCGTCCGTCTTTTTTATTTTTGTTGTACATTAAGAAGCATCTTTCCATCATACATTGCCCAAGTTTCAGTGAGATAGCCCAACAAACAACCGAGAAAAAAAAAAATTATTATCACACTGGCCGATTCCCACCAAGGTAGGGTGGCCCGAAAAAGAAAAACTTTCACCATCATTCACTCCATCACTGTCTTGCCAGAAGGGTGCTTTACACTACAGTTTTTAAACTGCAACATTAACACCCCTCCTTCAGAGTGCAGGCACTGTACTTCCCATCTCCAGGACTCAAGTCCGGCCTGCCGGTTTCCCTGAACCCCTTCATAAATGTTACTTTGCTCACACTCCAACAGCATGTCAAGTATTAAAAACCATTTGTCTCCATTCACTCCTATCAAACACGCTCACGCATGCCTGCTGGAAGTCCAAGCCCCTCGCACACAAAACCTCCTTTACCCCCTCCCTCCAACCTTTCCTAGGCCAACCCCTACCCCGCCTTCCTTCCACTACAGACTGATACACTCTTGAAGTCATTCTGTTTCGCTCCATTCTCTCTACATGTCCGAACCACCTCAACAACCCTTCCTCAGCCCTCTGGACAACAGTTTTGGTAATCCCGCACCCCCTCCTAACTTCCAAACTACGAATTCTCTGCATTATATTCACACCACACATTGCCCTCAGACATGACATCTCCAGTGCCTCCAGCCTTCTCCTCGCTGCAACATTCATCACCCATGCTTCACACCCATATAAGAGCGTTGGTAAAACTATACTCTCATACATTCCCCTCTTTGCCTCCAAGGACAAAGTTCTTTGTCTCCACAACTCCAAAAGTGCACCATCCCCCTTTTTTCCCTCTCAACTATGATTTACCTTCTTTCATAGACCCATCCATGACACCTCCCACCCAAATATCTAAATCTTTCCCCCCTCCCCCATACTCTCCCCCTCCAATCTGATATCCAATCTTCATCACCTAATTTTTTGTTATCCTCATAACCTTACTTTTTCCTATTTATTTTTAATTTTCTCCTTTTGCTTCCCCTACCAAATTTCATCCACCAATCTCGCATTTTCCTCAGAACTCCAAACACGTGTCATCACAAAGGCAACTGTGACAACCCCACTTTGTGTGATCTTTTTCTTTTAAACCCCCAAAAAACATATATGCAAACCCAAGCCCAAAACTGGAAATAATCCTTGTCTGACTTTTCGGGGTTTTCCCAGGTTCTCTTTTCAACACAGCTATGTATGATAATTTTATGTAACTGAAATTTGTGTATACCTGAATAAACTTATTTACTTCTAGTCTGTCAACTGATTACAAGAAACTGCCCATTCACTTATTTCAACTACCCAATAAAGTGGTCAGAAATTTGCAATTCGGCCAATTTCACAACAAATTTCAACAGATGCCAATTTCAAATAGGGTCCGGAATAAACAGTGCAGACATTCCTGAAACAAAAAATAACATTTTCTCTGTTCATTAGTCACGGCTACAGGCCCCTCTTATATTACTCTTGCTTACCTTTGGAATTTTTTATTCCCCAAAAAAAAAAAAAAAAAGATTTACTGTTATGCGACTACTGCATTTTTGTAATAATTGTTATAAAAAAATGTCAATCCATTCTTGACTCCGTACTGGAATTTAGACTGACAGGTGGACAGGTATTGGACACCGATGTCATTTGTTTACTCTGGAGCTTCGCTAAAGAATAGAACATTTTCGCTACTGTGAGCGCAATTTCAAGGTACTTTTCATGATGAAAGCAATCAAAATCATATCTATTTCTGTAATATATCTTTCATTCTATCAAATGAGACCGAAAAAATGAGAATACGTATAACCATAACAACCATACAAAAATATACTGCTAAGCGGCTGCTAATGGCTGAGAAGTGAACTCTGCTTTTTATGGTCTGATTTCTTTCATTTTTGGTGTACATGAAGAAGAATCTTTCCATCATACATTGCCCAAGTTTGAATCAGATAACCCAACAACAACTGAGAAAATAATAATAATATAATAATATTAATAATAATAATAATAATAATAATAATAATAATAATAATATCTCTTTACTACACGTACATGTACAAGGTATACAGCCTAGCTGACATCAGTGACATACTACTGTATAGAAAGCCATTTTATGCTGAGTATTTCAAGAAAATTGGGTCAGTGTCCCAGGATAAACACCCACCACTAGTCCGACTAACACCCAGGTACCCATTTACTGAGGGGTAAACATAGACAACGGGTGTAAAGAAACACGCTAATTTTCTACCCTGGCTGGGAATCGAATATTTACCAAAAATTTATATATGGCTAATCCAAGCCAGGTACTAAAAATAAGCCGTTGACTTTTTTGGGGGTTATTCTAGGTTCTCTAAAACGTGCTGCTATGTGTGATAATCCTGTCGAGAGAAAATAGCTTTTTTGTTTTCATTGTTTATGGTTTGGAGTACGAGGTGTATATCATATTAGCCCTGTGCTATACTCCGTTTTCTCTAATATAAGCCCCCAAGACAAGGATAGGAGAATGGTATTTGTTTTCTATATCCTCTTCATAACTCTGTCGAACTGCTCGGTGTTATGCCAAATATTATTCATTCTTGAGTATTTAACATGTTTTATGTTATTTATATTGTTTATTATGTCATATTAGATCAATTGTGATAGGCAAATAAGCTGTAGTGTTGATATTAGCGTAATAATAAAGCATATTCTCCTGCATCATGAGACTGAGCTCATGACAGCTGACAGTAGCTTCAAAGCCACCTTATCTTTAATGGATAATGTACTGTGTATGCTTTACATAATGAGAAGCATTTCTTTTATTCATTGGAACCATGGCTAGGGCTAAAAGTAAGCAGGGTAAAACAATAAATGGAGAAAAAGAAATTGGAATGACTTATGCAGCAAGTAGCGCCACCAAACAGTACCAGCAGGTTGGTGTGGCGACCCTGGAAATTTGAAATTATGCTAGCCAAAATAAGTGCCGAATAACTGAAGGTACCGAATAATTGATTGCCGGATTTGTGATGGCGGACCTGTACAATGTAATCCTTTATTGACAATGCTTTGCCCACACAGTGGGCTTTATCAAGTCACAAACAGATCTGTGAGACATTGTGACTTGATAAGTCCCACTGTGTGAGCAAAACATTGTCAATTAAAGATTGTGTTATATTGTTTCTGTGTCTTTATCCATCTTGTAATTATTTTATACCATTTCTTTCCATTTTCTGCAGGTGTCACGCTTTGTTTTTTCACTAATATTAACCATATATAACCAGTATCCAGTCAGTTGACTGGTTTTCTACTCAGATTGGCTCAATGCTATAATTTATAGAATTTATAATGAAGATTGCATTAAATTACCTTTGAGTTTTAATTTTTTTGTGACTGTAATAGTACATCTCAATTTGCCCAACAGATCTGCTGGATCTTGAGCCATTGCCAGTAACAGCCCTGAACAGCTCAGAATTGGAACAGCTCTACAAGTTTACTCACTTCAATCCAATCCAGACTCAGATATTCCATTGTCTGTACCATACAGATAACAATGTATTGCTTGGAGCACCCACTGGCTCAGGCAAGACTGTTGCCGCTGAGATTGCCATGTTTAGACTTTTCCGTGAGATGCCAGAAGCCAAGGTAAGCTTAATTTTGTCTTCTTGTATGTAACTGTGAGGATGCATTTTTTGTCCTAGATAGAAAAAACGTACATTATTTATTTCTACAGGATTACATTGGGTGACATTTGATTGTACCCATGGAAATCCCCTGGTTTGTCATAGCATTTCTGGCAAGCTAAAACTTAAGACTAGAGACATTAATTCTATTGACGGTAAAAAACATCCACACATGAGAGCATATTATAAGTGTAGCATTGTGCATGGCAATATGAAAAATGAAATATAATAAGTCTAGCTAAATCAAGTGTTTACATTGAAGCATATATGTGAACAGTATTTACATAAAGGTAGGGAAATTTTGATTGCATTTATGGATTTAGAAAAGGCATATGATAGAGTGGATAGGGGAGCAATGTGGCAGATGTTGCAAATATATAGAATAGATGGTAAGTTACTAAATGCTGTAAAGGGTTTTTATGAGGATAGTGAGGCTCAGGTTAGGGTGTGTAGAAGAGAGGGAGACTACTTCCCGGTAAAAGTAGGTCTTAGACAGGAATGTGTAATGTCACCATGGTTGTTTAATATATTTATAGATGGGGTTGTAAGAGAAGTAAATGCAAGGGTCTTGGCAAGAGGCGTGGAGTTAAAAGATGAAGAATCACACATAATTGGGAGTTGTCACAGTTGCTCTTTGCTGATGACACTGTGCTCTTGGGAGATTCTGAAGAGAAGTTGCAGAGGTTGGTGGATGAATTTGGTAGGGTGTGCAAAAGAAGAAAATTAAAATTGAATACAGGAAATGTAAGGTTATGAGAATAACAAAAAGATTAGGTGATGAAAGATTGGATATCAAATTGGAGGGAGAGAGTATGGAGGAGGTGAATGTATTCAGATATTTGGGAGTGGACGTGTCAGCGGATGGGTCTATGAAAGATGAGGTGAATCAGAATTGATGAGGGGAAGAGGATGAGCAGTGCACTTAGGAGTCTGTGGAGACAAAGATCTTTATCCTTGGAGGCAAAGAGGGGAATGTATGAGAGTATAGTTTCACCAACGCTCTTATATGGGTGTGAAGCATGGGTGATGAATGTTGCAGCGAGGAGAAGGCTGGAGGCACTGGAGATGTCATGTCTGAGGGCAATGTGTGGTGTGAATATAATGCAGAGAATTCGTAGTTTGGAAGTTAGGAGGAGGTGCGGGATTACCAAAACTGTTGTCCAGAGGGCTGAGGAAGGGTTGTTGAGGTGGTTCGGACATATAGAGAGAATGGAGCGAAACAGAATGACTTCAAGAGTGTATCAGTCTGTAGTGAAAGGAAGGCGGGGTAGGGATCGGCCTAGGATAGGTTTGAGGGAGGGGGTAAAGGAGGTTTTGTGTGCGAGGGGCTTGGACTTCCAGCAGGCATTCGTGAGTGTGTTTGATAGGAGTGAATGGAGACAAATGGTTTTTAATACTTGACGTGCTGTTGGAGTGTGAGCAAAGTAACATTTATGAAGGGATTCAGGGAAACCAGCAGGCCAGACTTGAGTCCTGGAGATGGGAAGTACAGTGCCTGCAGTCTGAAGGAGGGGTGTTAATGTTGCAGTTTAAAAACTGTAGTGTAAAGCACCCTTCTGGCAAGACAGTGATGGAGTGAATGATGGTGAATGTTTTTCTTTTTCGGGCCACCCTGCCTTTGTGGGAATCGGCCAGTGTGTTAATTAATAAAAATAAAATAACTAATCCTGCTCTTTCTTTTCTGCCTGTTCCTTAATAGAAATTGGCTTTAAAATTTTCAGTGGTCCACCTGCTCTTCACTGGTTAGCATCTTCAGTCATTGCCAATTGCACTGATGCTAGGAGATGCACACTTAGGGGATACAAATCTTTTGAGGGAAGGGATATGTAGTTCCCTTTCTTGCTTGCAGGGTCAAAGCCCTGCTAGCACAGGCAACTAGTATTTTCAAAACAAAATTGTATTGTCTTCTTGCAGTTGTTACCCATATTGCTGCAATGTCTGCCTCATCATCTATTGTAATCTCAGACACTCTGTGTACATTTGCAGTTATTTCAATTTTTTTGATTCCTTACATACCGTTGATATACCTTTATACCTTTGAAGAATTTCGAGAGTATATCTACTCTCTGAGCCCGGCCATGGGCCAGGCTCGTCTGGTCAACCAGGCTGTTGCTGCTGGAGGCTTGCTGCCCCACATATCCATCACAGCCTGGTTGATCTGGCACCTGGTGAAGATACTTGTCTAGTTTCTTCTTGAAGGCTTCAACACTTGTTCCAGCAGTGTTTCTGATATCTTCTGGTAAGTTGTTGAAAAGTCTGGGACCCTGGATGTTGATACAGTGTTCCCTTATTGTCCCCACCGCACCCATGCTCCTCACTGGGTTTATTTTATATTTCCTGCCATATCTCTCACTCCAGTATGTTATGGCAGTGTACAGATTTGGGACCAAGCCCTCGAGTACCTTCCAGGTATATATTATCATGTACCTCTCTCTCCTCCACTCCAATGAGTACATGTTCAAGACTTGCAGGCTTTCCCAGTAGTTTAGGTGCTTTACTGGCTCATTGTGAGCCGTAAACGATCTCTGTATTTGTTCCAGCTCCGATATTTCTCCTGCCCTGAACGGGGCTGTCAGCACTGAGCAATATTCTAAGTGTGGGAGCACTAGCGATTTGAAGAGTGTCACCATCGGCATTGTTTCCACATTGCTACCTGCATTCAGTACTCGTAAAACTGTGCATTGGTTATTAGACACAGTCATCTCATGGAGGAGCACCCAGTTCCACTGTAAGGAATTGTAGTGACACTGGGTGCCACTGCAAATCCTTGCCAGTATCCTTCCCTCATTAAGTCCACTTCTTACCTTCTTCTATTTCTCACCTCTCACATTTAACACTGAATTCCTCTAATGGTTTAGTGATTTCCATAAATACATATAATAATCCATTCTTATTTAACACTCACATGACTGCTGAATGCTCAAGCGCTACTTCTCACACTACCTTCACAATTTACCTTCAACTTTTCCTGTGGTGTCTCCTGCACCTTATACCTTCTTGATCAGCCTATTTTGCTCCATGCTTCCTAAATGTCCAGTTCAACAAAACCTCATCCCCACCTTGAATTTTACCTTTTATTCCTTCATCTATACTTCAAATATGTTCATTCCTTTCCATGATACAAGCTTCCTTTGCTTAATGTGATAGATGCAATCTAGGCCAATGGTGTATATACAGGTCCACATCCCTTTATCCGAAACCCTTGAGGCCGGTATTGTTTTGAATTTCAGACTTTTTCGTTTTTCAGAATGATTCTCAACGCCGCCACATGGCGGCGTGACCTAGCACTGAGATGACTGGTGCTCCACATTCCATGAAAAAGCTTTGGTTTTCAGAGCTTTTTGAATTTCAGAATTTCAGACAAAGGGATATGGACCTGTATAAGCAGCTGTAATAATCTATAGGAACACATCCACCTACTTCATGTACATTTTATGAACTATACCGAACTCTTTAGAACAAATTAGTGTAGCACATACGGAATTGTTGGTAAAATTTGGGTCTTTGCAGTAAAGCAAATTCACATATAGCAGTCCTGTATGAATTGAGAGTTTATTGTACACATCCCATTCAGTCAAACAACTTGTCACAATAAAGCTCCTTCATGAAACATTTGACGATATAGGATTGTTAATCTGTGTTATTTTTTTTCATATTGTCTGTAAGCTTTTCCCTATTTCTTAAATATTTATATCAGACCTTTATTAATTCATACGACTATTAATTTATTTCTAAGATTTAGAAAAAAAAAAAAAAGGGATGATGTTACAGTTGGAGGGTAATCTGTGTTATCTCACTTGTGGAAACATGGCAATTGAGTGAATGTGTTGTCATTTTTGGAAGTTTACTTAGGTCAGAGACAGCCATTGAGTTTAAAAAAAAATGAAAAGATTATTGCATAAGGAATCTTTACAAGAAAGGATATTTACTGGATGACTTCATTCTAACAGTCAAATGATTTGCTGAAGTTATCTGATTGATATTTATTGGTTTTGCTTTTATTACAACAGATTCAGGATTAATTTCCTGTCAGTGGAGTGCACTTAAAACCGTATTAACTGTTTTCTTTGTCTAATGTGTTAACCTCAGTAATTTCATATTAACCTGGATCCAGCCAGTTGTAATGTTTATTTTTCAGGCAGTATATATTGCACCTCTTAAAGCTCTGGTTCGTGAGCGTGTTGAAGACTGGCGGGTCAAGCTGCAAGACAAGTTGGGCAAGAATGTTGTGGAGTTGACAGGTGATGTTTCTCCAGATATACGATCCATTCAGGTAAATGACTCTTTCAAATTGACGAGAGATGTATTAAATAATTGATATCTTAAAACAACTTTTTTGCAAGCTGAATTATTTATCACAAGGATCGCTTCTTGTCCCATTGGAAAATAAGGAATATCCACTTGGAATTTTTGTTGACCTAAGAAAAGCTTTTGACACAGTAGACCACGGCATCCTACTCCACAAACTTGACCATTATGGTATAAGAGGCCATGCGCTTGCATATTTCAAATCTTACCTTACTAATAGGTATCAGTATGTCACCATTAAAGACACAGCATCAACAACACAGCCACTTGATACTGGAGTTCCGCAGGGAAGTGTCCTTGGTCCCCTGCTCTTCCTCATATACATCAGTGATCTTCCAAACGTATCTCGACAACTGAACCCCATTCTCTTTGCTGACGACACGACTTATGTCATCTCTCACCCTAATCTTGCCACCCTCAACACCATTGTTAATGAGGAGCTGATCAAAATATCGACTTGGATGACAGCCAATAAACTTACGCTTAACGTTGACAAAACCTACTACATTATGTTTGGTAGCAGAGCAGGAGATGCGCAAATTAACATTAAGATCGACAACACTCTAATTGCCAGGCATAATGAGGGCAAATTCCTAGGCCTATACCTCGACAACAACCTGAACTTCAGCACCCATATCCAACACATAACCAAAAAAGTATCCAAAACGTTTGGGATCCTCTCCAAGATACGATACTACGTGCCACAAACTGCCCTTCTCACACTATACCATTCACTTATGTATCCATACCTCACCTATGCTATCTGTGCTTGGGGTTCAACTGCAGCAACACACCTAAAGCCAATAATAACCCAACAAAAAGCCGCAGTAAGAATAATCACTAAATCCCATCCCTGGCAATACACCCCCCCACTCTTCATAGATCTAAACTTACTCCCTGTTCAGTACATCCACACTTACTACTGTGCAATCTACATCTACAGGACCTTAAATTCCAATACTAACCTTGACCTAAAACACTTTCTTGATGGTTGTGACAGAACCCACAGGCACAGCACCAGACACAAACATCTCTATGACATTCCACATGTCTGACTAAACCTTTACAAAAATTCAATGTATGTCAAAGGCCCTAAAATCTGGAACACCCTACCTGAAAATTCCAAAACTGCGGACACATTCATCACCTTCAAAACTACCATCAGAAAACATCTTATCTCCCTGATACACCCTGTCAACTATTTACACGAATACCACCTGGTGGTTCACACTTACACTCACTCACCCATTTGACCATAAACAGAAATATCAATCTCAGTCTCAAAATAATGAATCTTAACTAGTCATAAGTTGGCCTGTGATACTCCAATACTGAAACTATGTATAGTGCCAAAACAAAAGCATTCACATTGCTAAACTCACAACTAGTATTTAGTCACTTAGCCATAATACCAACTTACCTCATAATTTTGTAATATTTTAAACTTAAGATTTAATATAAGTCTGCCCGAAATGCCTAGCCGTGCTAGGTGTTCTAGTGGTACACTCTGTAATTATTTTACTACATGTAAACCACACAATAACCAAATTCTGTAAACTCAGCATTGTAATCCTTATAGAGAATAAACTTTGAATTGTTGAGGTCAATTTTTACCATGTCTACCACTCCTTCAACAAGTGTTGATAGCTTCAGATTGTTAATGAATCTATTTTTTTTTTTTTTTTTTTTTTTTCTCTCCAGCCCCCTCCTCTTCTTACTTCCCTCCAGTTAGTTTTAGAAAGGGATATACACAGTTAACCATCAATTATGACAGTAGCAATATTCTTTAAAATGGCATCTAAAACAAATTCAAGAACATATGGGAAAAATTGGGTTATGTTCCATGGGCCCCCAAAATGGCAAACTTCCTTTTTTTTTTTTTTTTCCCCAAGTTTTGCCGATATTCAAGAGTAAACAAATCATGCCACGAGTCCAATACTTGTCAACTGGTGAGTCTAATGCAGTGGACCACCGACCAACCAAGGCATCATCTAATGATAAAATTGAATTAACGAAGCATTTTAGCGTAGAAATTTTGGCCTCACCAACAATGAAAAACTCGACTAACATCATTCGTCCCTAATGATGTTAGTCGAGTTTACAAGCCAGTGCTGTTGCTTCCACGCATACATTCAGTACATTTTGTATTATTCCAGTGTTTTTAGTACTTGTAACTGCTAAATAAGCCACCATGGGCCCAAAGAAAGCTTCTGGTGCCAATCCTGTGGTAAAAATGGTGAGAATTACAATTGAAATAAAGGAGATAATCACAAAGTATGAAACTGGAGTGCATGTCTCCAAGCTGGCCAGGTTGTATAACGAACCCCAATCAACCATCACTACTACTTGGCCAACAGAAAGGTATTCAAGGAAGCTGTTGTTGTGAAAGGTGCAAGTATGTTTTGGAAACACAGATTGCAAATACTGGAAGATATTGAGAAATTGTTATTAGTGTGCATAAACGAAAAACAGATATCAAAAGATGGCATCTGTCAATCAGTCATATGTGAAAAGGCAAGGCAGTTGCATGATTTAATTAAAAAAAAGGCCTGCAACTAGTGATGCGAGTGAATTTAAGGCCAGAAAAGGTTGGTTTGAGAGATTTAAAAATCGTAGTGGCATACACGGTGTGGTAAGGCATGGTGAGGCTGCCAGTTCAGACCAAAAAGCAGCTGAAAAATATGTGCAGGAATTTAAGGAGTACATAGAGGCTGAAGGGTTAAAACCCCGACAAGTGCTTAATTGTGATGTAACAGGCCTGTTTTGGAAGAAAATGCCAAATGTGACCTACATTACACAGGAGGAAAAAGCACTCCCAGGAAACAAGCCTGTGAAGGACAGGGGTACTTTAATGTTGTGTAGTAATGCTAGTGGGGATTGCAAAGTGAAGCCTCTACTCGTGTATCACTCTGAAACTCCCAGAGTGTTCAAGAAAAACAATGTCCTCAAGGCTAATTTGTGTTATGTGGAGGGCAAACAGTAAGGGATGGGTTGCTAGGGACATTTTCTATGACTGTTTTATCATGTGTTTGGCCCCACTGTGAAAAATTACCTCCTGGAAAATAAATTGGACCTTAAGTGCCTCCTGGTATTAGTGCTCCTGCTCATCCTTCAGAGTTGGCAGAGCAAATTTCGGAGGAAAGTGAAGCTTTTGCCTCCTTATACCACTCCTCTCCTCCAGCCCATGGACCAGCAGGTCATTTCAGATTTCAGAAAACTGTACACCAAAGGATTGTTTCAAAAGTGCTTGGAATTGACCTCAGACACTCAGTTGACCCTAAGAGTCTTTTGGAAAGATCACTTTAGTATCCTCAATTGCATAAACCTTATATGTAAGGCTTCGAAGGGAGTGACTGACAGGACCTTGAACTCTGCTTGGAGGAAATTGTGGCCAGAATGTGTAGAAGAGAGCGATTTTGAAGGGTTTGGGGCTAACCCTGAGAAGCCTATGCCAGTTGTGGAATCTATTGTGGCATTGGGGAAGTCCATGGGGTGGGAGGTTAGTGGGGAGGATGTGGAAAAGTTGCTGGAGGATGACGATGAAGAACTAACCACTGATGAGCTGCAAGAACATGAGGACACAACTGAGGAAATTGCTTCAGAGGAGGGGAGAGAGAAATGGAAAAAGTTGCCTTCTTCAAAGATTAAAGAAATTTGTGCAAAGTGGGTTGACGTGCAAACCTTTATGGATGAAAATCACCCTGACACAGCTATTGCAAGCCGTGCTGGTGACTTTTACAATGACAATGTTTTGGCCCATTTTAGGAAAATCTTAGAAGAACGTGAGGTACAGAGCTCTATGGAAAGTTTTTGGTGCGACGGAGGTCCAGTGACTATCAAGTTGATCCCATTGGCATTGAAAGAAGAAGGGAAGTAAGCCCGGAAAAGGACTTGCTACCTAAAGTCCTTATGGAAGGGGATTCCCCTTCCATTTCATCACTCGTCACTGCATCTTCAAGAAAGGTGTCACTTATTCTTCATTTAGTACAGTACGTGTATTTATTGTGCATGTATCCTTCTTTTTCTGTGTAGGAAAATGTATATTTCATGTGGAAATTTTTTTTTTTTTTTTCATACTTTTGGGTATCTGGAACAGATTAGCCCTTTCAGGGTCCGTCCCGTAAATCTACAGCTTTACGTTCAGGGTCCAAACCGTAGATATACGCCATGAGCTCAGCTCACTCTGATAAGCTGTAAGTGGTAAATTTGGGCCTAGATATGAGAGAATACATCTATGTGGTATGTGTGCACCACATAAAACAAATCCTGCAGCACACAGTGTATAATGAGAGAAAAAAACTGAGACTGTGATTTTCGATCAAAACAGTGACTTTGCAGTGTTTTTTCGTATGTGTTTTGTAGTTGTATTTGCGATTTCTTGGTCTCAATTGATAGAATGGAAGATATAATACAGAGATGATTTTGATTGGTTTTGGTAATGGAAATGGCTTGAAACTGAGCTCAAAATGTTAAATTATTGTCGATGTTCAAGAGTAAACAAACGACCTCACACGTCTAATACATGCCAGCTGGCGGGTCTAATATACATTCATAAATGTGATGATGATATTTGTACAATTACAGTGGTCCCTCGTTTATCGTAGTTAACCCGTTCCTGGAGTTGCTACTGTCATCGAAATCTATGATTTTCGAATCAATTTTCCCCATAAGGAATAATGCAAATGCAAATAATCCATTCCTGACACTCAGAAGTATTAAAACAAAAAAAATTTTTACATGAAATATAGATGTAGTACATATAGATGTTTGGGTGTTTGATAAAGGCACCTAAAAACCCTGTCAGCTTTTGAATCCGGTCATTGTGTCACTTATTTTTGAATGAATCGGGTCAGTGATTTTGGACTAGGTTGTGAAAGGACTACTGAAATATTATTTAACAGAGTAATATGTGTTCAGTTTGATATAAAAAGTATAACTTGCATGTTGGAGAAACTGGTGACTTCT